GTCTTAAGATGCTAATACGGCTTTCTGATTGGTTCAAGCACTAGCTTAAGACCATCTCGAATCTTGAGCAACGTCTATGGATTCCGTACTTTAAAGCGTCGTCTACAATATGCGAAGTAAGCTTGGTTTAGTAAGAGTAAGAAATTGACCAATCACAGTCGATTATTCTTCTCACATTCGACTGTGATTGGTCAGTTTCTTACTCTTACTTCTTAAACTAAATTTACTTCGCATATTGTAGACGACGCTTAAGCCAATCAAAGGACTTAGGGCGACTGTTACCAACGCCGATTAACTTAATCGGCTGATTAATCCATTGGAATTGACCAATCGCATTTGTCATTTTGTTTGACGACAGGCCAATGGCGATTGGCCAATTCCAATGGACTAATCGGTCGATTAAGTTAATCGGAGTTGGTAACAGTCGCCCTTAGTATTAGAAGAGTATTAGTATCTTAAAACAAAAGTCGCGTTCAGCAGATTCAGGCTGCGGTCCACTTGACGCTACAAATGCTTCGAAGCATTCTTTGATTGGTCAATTCGTAAAATTCTTTATTCTGATTGATCGCTCAAACGCTTCGAAGCGTCTAATGAATCGCAGTCTCAATTGTTGCGGAGCGGATCCGGGAACGCTCGCTGTTATTGGATGATCTTATATATATATATATATGTATACATATATATGTCCACTCCTCATAATATTATGATTATCAAAAATAACAATATTTAATGTTACTATAATATTGAACATTAAAAGATATTATAATAAGAATATCATATTATAATATGAAATAAAACTAGGAATATGCCTGAAATATTACTTAATATTAAAGAATATTGTGCGCTTATAGGGAAGATGTGTGTTGAAAAGATACATATTTCTTTGAAATCTTTCATCAATTTGAATCTCACAATTGATGAGCAAAGTAGTCTTAAAGAGCTTTCCAACAAGCTGTGTGTGACACAGTATTCGTTTCATCTTTATTTAACACTGGCGAACAACAAAGACGTAATGATTTACTATAATTGTATCATCTATGCGTGTCTTTTGTTGGAAAGTTCTCTTGATTAATTTTTCAAGTAATACCTGCAATCGTAATACTCTTTTACTTTGATAATAGAGATAAATTAATTGTTAATTCTTTATTATTAAATATTTAATTGAACGAAGAGAATTTTGATCGAAGTCATTTTAAATAGAATATTTTGAAGGAAGCTTTCCAGCAGAGACACAAATCGACACAAGTCATTCTGTCTTTGTTTCTTACTGATTATCGAATATGTGTCTTTCTCTTGCTGGAAAGTTCCCGAAGTATTCCTTCCAGTATATTCTCATGTAGAATATTCCTACGTCAACTTCGATAAACTTTACGCTGTTCCGTTTTCAGCACGAGCCATTCGACCAATTGTAGCCAAGAGTTTCAAAACAGCAACCTGCGTTTTTGCGAATATCTTCGGTTACGATTGGCCGATTCGTTTGCCTGGCCGAATCACGTATTTCTGAGCATCGTCAACAAGACGCGACGAATGAGCTGACTCGAACGATGCGATCGCTCGTTGGAGCCTCATGATGTAACGCTACATACATACCGAGGCATATTGACGCCGGCGACACGGAATCACACGGTACGGGAGTAGCAGTGGAGTAGCAGCCAGCGGTGATCACTACGAGCGTGGTGCGCGCACGGCGTCATGAACGGGGTTTCGCGGTCGTAAGTGTCATCTGAGGAAATCGCGACGGTCGTTTCTTCTCGATCATGTACCGCTACTGTGGGATCTGTCGCTTGTCTTGCACGCTGTGTCGTCGATAATAATGCAATGAGTACGACGACGAAGATGACAATGATGCCATGCGAAATTCGACAGTGAAATCGGCGGCACGAACAACAGCAACGACGACAACGACGACGGCGACGATGTCGATGACGCCGCGAGTGCGGAGTAACGGTCGTGTGCAACGTGGAACTGCTGTCGCAGCTTGAACCGTGCAACATACGCTGTTCACATCGCTTTCACGTCCGAACCTCTGCGTGTTTTTCTCCTCCCTTCAGCGCGATCGGGACGTCGACGTTGAGACGCCGGACGAAGCGGTCCCGGGCGCAATGGCAGCTCACAAGACGGGCGGGCAGACCGCCCGTAAGAAAGTTCAGGTATAATTCGCTGACAGGTATCGCTGACAGATTCGCGAGGAACTTGTCGGTTCCTTTGACTGATGCCTCACGAAACTGTGCCTTATAGTCGTATGATAATACATTGTATAATAAGATAATTGTTTTCTGTGCTAAGAACCACGTTTGTAAATCCACGTTTATAAATCCATTTGGAGACACTTGTGTGAACTTGTCTCCATATTATGTCTGTATAATATTATATTGTATAATATTGAATTTAGTTTTCTCTTTTCCAAAAGAGTGAAAAACTCAACACAATTAAACTTTGTTAATTAGTACCAAAGAATCAAAACTTTTCTAGCATTTATAAGCGTGCTTCTTATTTTTTTGTTGCTCACTAAATGTCAAGAAAGATAAAATGATGTTTGTGTCAACTTGTGTCACCAAATGGAAAGCATCCAAAATTAAAAATTGATAATGATGACTTTCATTGAATTTTTACAAGTTGTCAATTTAATAAGAAGAACTATATTAATTTTAAATCACTTTTCATATAAAGGTGTCTATGGTTATAAGAGACGAAGTAGAGAAGCAGCATAGGGCTGGTGTCAATTCCTTACAGTATGATCCAGCTCTGCACAGGTTATATTCTGCTGGTAGAGACAGCATCATAAGGATATGGAATTGTAGAAATATGAAGGAACCATATATTCAATCTATGGAACATCATACCGATTGGGTTAATGATATAGTGCTGTGTTGTAATGGCAAAAATCGTAAGTGCACACATACAATATTCTTATTTGACTTAATTTTTAGGATATCCTAAGTAAATGTATCATCTATATTAAATATAACATAATATCTTTCTTTAGTTTTCAATTTCTATTGTAACAATCTCGATATGATAATCATCTTATCAATTCTGTATAGTTATATCTGCAAGTTCTGACACTACCGTCAAGGTATGGAATGCACATAAAGGTTTCTGTATGTCCACCCTGCGCACGCACAAGGATTACGTTAAAGCATTAGCATATGCCAAAGATAGAGAGCAAGTTGCTAGCGCGGGTCTAGACAAGTCGATATTTCTATGGGATGTTAATACATTGACTGCTCTTACCGCGAGTAATAATACAGTCACAAGTATGTAATTCGTGTATCTTGACCGTTATATATGTGTCTTTTATATGTAATTAAATATCCTTAAAACATGTATCTTGTCACAGCTTCATCCCTGAGTGGAAACAGAGACTCTATATACAGTCTTGCCATGAATCAGATTGGCACAGTTATCGTGAGCGGTAGTACAGAGAAAGTTCTTCGAGTGTGGGATCCACGATTTTGTACCAAACTCATGAAACTTCGTGGTCACACGGACAATATTAAAGCATTAGTCTTAAACAGAGACGGGACGCAGTGTTTATCAGCGAGTTCCGATGGCACTATTAAATTGTGGTCGCTTGGCCAACAGAGATGTGTGCAAACCTTTAGGGTTCATAAAGAAGGAGTATGGGCGTTATTGGTAATTACACGCACAATTATATATGCAAGTTCTTCGTTATGTTAATAATTATTATACAGGTTATTGTATTAAATCTGATGTGTTTTAGGCAACGGATAATTTTAGCCATGTAATATCTGGAGGCAGGGATAAGAGGGTAGTAATGACAGAATTAAGCTATGCTATAGAGAGATATACAGTCATTTGCGAAGAAAAGGCACCTATACTCAAGATGGCTATGACACCGGATCAATCTAGTATTTGGGTAGCCACCAGCGAATCAACCATAAATAATTGGGTAAACAAAGTTTCATAATATAACGAATTTGCATGAAAAAAGACAAATTATAAAAAATATCTTTGTTTTATTTCAGCCAATAAGCCAAAAAGATTGGCAAGAATTAGGAATAGGAGATTATTGTGATTCCGCGAGTAATGTATCGGGCAATATTTTAAGGAACACCGAACCTACACAGAAAATATTGGGTGGTCCTGCCATAAGACATTATCACATATTAAATGATAAAAGACATGTTTTGACAAAGGATACAGAAGAGAATGTTGCACTATATGATGTATTAAAGGCATGTAAAATAGAAGATTTAGGTAGAGTTGATTAATGTCGATCTCAAAACAGGGGTATGTCTGAAAACGGATTTTGTTTGATAAATCAACGTTTTCAAAGGCTAAATCGATTCTAAATTTTTTTTATCATTACAGATGTTAACTATACATTTAGGGCAAGATGAAAATGATTGCTTCTCTGCATGGGTTTCCGCTAAAGAAACTGGTCTAGCGGAGAACGATGCTGTAGATCAGAAAGGTGATTAGCTATTTCATTAGTAATATTTATGACATGATTCGGGAAATTTATCCTTTCGGGAATAATATCCTTTCTATTTTTAGTAAATTATGGAAACCTTCTGCTGCAAGCATTACTTGAACACTGGTGGAGACCATTGCATGCTGATGATGAGAATGAGGGTAATGGCAATGATGGAAATGGTCCTTTACAACACACGAGAGGAGGAAATCCATACTTTTCAGTTCCTAGTCATACACCTGTCATCTTTAGGTATGCAAAGAGTGTTGTGCAGGAAGCAATATTTCATTAACTAAATTATAACATTATGCTGCTTTCCAGTGAAGTGGGAGGTAGAACCATCTATCGACTATTGGTTCGAGATGCTGCAGGAGAAACTGAGGGTGTCCTATTAAACGAGACTGTACCACCATGGGTGGTGAATATCGTCGTGGACAAGAATCTTCCTCAGTTTATTAAAATACCTTTTTATCTTCTTCCACACGCCTCTTCAGGTGTAAAAAGTTTGAAGAAGTATGTATTTTAACTTTAACTCTCCAAATCGCGCGATGACAAATAAATAATTTTCTGTGTTATCTTTAAGGGATCGTTTAATAGCCAATGATTTTATACAAGTACGTAAAGTGGCCGAACATGTTTACGATAAAGTACTCGGTGCAGGAAGCGACTCAGGTTCAGTGGCTGGTGGTGGAAATACAGTTTCCAGCGGATCTCCGGCAGGTGATAGGACGAACACGGACTCTAATGCTGATAATTCTTCATTGGCTGAAGAAAAAGTCGAACTCCTATGTAACGATCAAGTCTTGGATCCTTCAATGGATTTGAGAACAGTATGTATTAACCTGAATAAACTTTTTGTAATCATTGAGAGAATGTTTTTCTTCATATGTTTCTCTGTTTCCCAGGTTAGACATTTCATTTGGAAAAGTTCGGCGGATTTAACACTTCATTATCGTCCTGTTAAATAGTTAGGATTAACATTACATCATGAACCTTTACAGTGTGCCTGGTTTTATACCATGGTAAAGTATGCTGTACACATATTTTAACTTTTTTTTCATTGATTTAAAAAAATTCAAGATTGATCCCCATTTCAGAATAGTGGAAAATACATAGGCTACTTGCAGAATATGGTACCTTGTGCCACCTTCTTAGGAAATGATCACCTGGATTTGACAAACGTTTCGTGTGACGTTGAGGCAGGAGTGAAAGAAAGCGAGGCGTATTTGGAGTATTAGGACATAATGTAAAATTTTAAGGCAATAATGTGTGGAAGTATTAATGTAAATTGCTCACTTTTATACACTTGCATCCTGCGGCCAAATTCACAACAGAGCATTACTCTCGGTTAATCTGCTTGAGAACATCATGCTTTTTGTACCTGGATGTAGAGTTTAAAGTCTTGTTGTCAGCCATATATCGTCTTCCCACTTCAAAGATATCATTAAAAACGCATGGCACAACTACAGAAAAAGGGAATAGACCGCATGGCCGAGAAAATTGTTGTTTCGTTAGGTCTAATGGATCCAGGTGATCCTCACAAATGCTTCTCAAAACAATTTCCTCTATTAATCCTATTTTAGCTGTGTATTTCGTAATCAGTACATAGAATCGTCTTCTTTTAGTATTATAATAAAAGTATTGAATATTTATTGAGGGTATAAGAAATTATACGTTTTGTTATATGCATGCATGCAAAATGTGTATTCCACACCTGCCTTGTTATATTAGAGAGCGAGAAGAAGAAATATATATATATATACATATATATATATAAAAGAGAGAAGAGAGATATGTCAATTTACCATTAATCAAATTATATTTGAATAGCCAAATTATATATAGAAGTTCAATATTTCCTATTACTCATGGGAAATAAGAGAATGTATTTATCTGCAGTGTAATAAGATCAAATTCTGTCCTGGTCAAAGCTAATAAAATATAAATATGGGATATATATATATATATCAATTATGTATATTTAACACCAAAAATTAAATTTTATAAGGTCCTATATAAATACCATTGAGAATATAATTGTCGAAGGATATACAGTATTCAACAGAATTTGATCTTTACAAAGATTTATAATGAATAAAAATGATATAGTTGTTCTTAAGTTAACATTCGATTTTTTCTAGATTATAAATTGTATATATATGAACACGACTGTGAATAATGTCCATTAATAATACAGTATGCCGTATGGATAAAAATTTAACAGATCTTATTGTGCAAACAACTCGGAGCCAATAATATTTGCTATTACTGCAAAGATTTAAATTGTCAAGAGAGAAATTATACTAGTTTTTAATGTGCTCCGTGAGATATACAATATTGTTTGCGTTATTAAAATATATGTATATGAGAGCAATCTTTTTATAATTGTAAATAATATTTTGTCATTTTAACTGGATAATATACGTTGTAATTTTATCTATTATCAAGCTTAGCTTTACCTTGGTTTGGTAATGCTAAATGCTTTATATTAAGAATTATTTGCAATTGCTTGCTTTCACTTTCTATCGAAATATGTATTGTCAAGATACTATGAGAGAGAAAGAGAAACATTTCTTGACTGAGTGAAATGGATGCATGGTTGGCAAAACTTGTATCATCCTAGTTAAGAATACCTTATTTATTATCTTTACACGGGTTGTTTTAAAAGAAATTGTGTAGTGTGAACTTATATTTTTTTAATTTTTATTTATTCTTAGAATATATATATAATATATATATTATATATATTTTGTAAATCATTTTATATACATTAAATTATCGTGTAATTTAATATCTGGACATGATGTATGACAAATAATGAAAATTGTACATTGCCTTTGATCTGAAATTATTTCAATTTAGGTATTACAACGATATTACAACACTGATATGATTTTATTTAAAATCATCAGATTATTTTATTTAAAATCATAACGATTATCTAGAATCAATTAATTGTTCAGTTCATTGCATAGTTCTCTGAAAATGTATATATATTACTTTTCTCTATACAGATTTCTCGCATGAATCAAGAGTAATCATTCTTTATTTTTTTAAAACGCTTATTTTAGACATTTGTTATCATAATGCGAGTAATCAAGATGTGCCTGATCATAGATCATAAGTTACAGAGGGCATTTTAATCATGGCTTATATTGATATTTAAAACAGTCCATACAGTTACAAGATGCGTAATTATATTAACATTTCTCTTTTACATTATCAATGATAAATCATAAAAACTACCACATTATCATCATGAATTTTTATCTTTTTTTATTATGTATTTTCTAGCAGGCAGCATATAATTTCATTTCGTAAAAGGTAATAAATTTAATCATTTTATTCACCGACATGTTATTTTTGCACAGAAAAACGAAGTATTAATTTGAGAACGTTAATAGTATAAAAATCAAAATATCGATTTCATCTTTCTTCAATCTATGTAAAAAGAAACGAGATTTAAAGAACAAAATAGCAAATTTGGGTGCCAAATTTTATATGGAAAATGATACTCGCAAAGCACCGTACATTTTTAAACAGCATTTTTTTTGTAAACCTGTTTTAGGTGCAGGTTCTACAGTGGTACTACTTATGACATAAGGCTATGTAGCGAAAGATTAAATTTATAATTTTTAGAACTATTAAGATTATGGACTAATATCGTCTCTGCAAAAGATCGAATGCTTGTATGTCAGATTGCTTTGTAAAATACTACATTTTACTGTCCCGACGTGTAAATTATCAAACTTTTCAATGTCAAACTGATCAAGTCAAATTTTCTACAATTTTCTACAAATGTACAACGAGACGATATTTCTATCCTTGAATACTTTCATATTTATCTGATTATCTTTGTAATACATTACTATTGTCTCTATTGATACTTATATTAATAGGCAAAATGACATAAGGCTCCATATCAGAAAAGAATTGATATTAATTTCTATTTGTATTTATTGCGTCTGTTTTACAATAATATGGCATCACTCCAGACTATGTACACTATAAAATAATCAGTATTTAATAAAATATAATTTAATATAGAAAAGAGATTGCATCGCACAGCGATACTTAAATAAAGAATTCTATTACTATTTAGGCACTTATTTTGTCAAACCACAAACAACACTTTAAACACTTTCACTGAGAATACTGTCAACAGCTTCCACAAAAGAAGCACATACTCTTGCTGGTTCCGGAGTAATTGTATTCTCATCTCCTGTTCTATATTTACCAGTTTGTACCAGAATACCTCTGATTCCAGCTGCCTGTGCACCAGCTACGTCATCCCTTACGTCCTAATCAGAAAAAGATTCATATTTGTGAATATGTAAAAAAATAATATACAAAAAAAAAGAAAGCCGATATAATTCAAAATATTACATCTCCAATTATTACAGCCTGCGCTGGATCTGTTTCTTCTAAAGCTGCCTTAAAAAATCCTATAGTCGGTTTTCCAACAACTTCTGCTTTCGTATTGCTAGCATATTCCAGTCCCTTGATGAACGCCCCAGGACCTAGAGCTAGGCCATCGGAACGCTTGTAATATCGTCCTTCGTGAATAGCTATGAGAGAAGCGCCATCCAAAAGCAATCTAAAATATGACGTTAAAATATTATATATGTTTACAGTTTAAAGGATACAGATAAAAAGAAAGATGCAAAACTACCTGAATGCTTTGTTCAGTTCTTCGTAGTTGAATTTGCTTGGTGCTAAACCAATCACCACTGCATTAGGTGTATCATCTGTTGCTAAATCTTGAAAATCCTCCATCGCTGCCGGATCAATTAACAGCATCGGTTTTAATCGTTGGGAGATAATTAATTTTCTTGCTGCTGCTAACGAACTGAAGATCTCTTCTTTTCGTAAATCAAATCCAAGTTTTATCAGACGTTCATATAAATAATTACTTGACTCTTTGGTGGTGTTGGTGATGAACTTAATTGACAAGTTTGCATTTCGTAGCCTGAAACACGAAAATATAAATTCATCATTCTCTAAAGTCTAAAGAATAAAAAGATGCCTGATACTAAAAATAAATTATAAGATTTTACTGTTTAATTAATTTCAGTAATTTACAAAAAGATCTTCATTATCACTGATTCAATATCTTCAAGGCATTTATCAAGTAAAGCAGGTATTAAATTAATCTTAAAAGAAAAATCATATTAAACAAAAAAAATAAGAGATTTTTTATTATTAAATCAATTTTTTAATCAATAATACATTTTTATGGAAACTAAATAAAGTTTAAACTTACGGATTTTATTTGAGATACTTAAAATTAAATCGCGCCATTTCCACAGAAATTACACTGTGGTCAGTTTGTAAGTCATGTATTGAAAATTTAATCTAACCTGTTTAATGCTTGTACGGCACCTGGAATAGCTGTATTTTCAATGTGCAACGTCCCGCTGAGATCTATCAGCACTGTCGTGATTTGCCTTGCCATTGTTATATTCTTGTTACATTATAATGTAATAAAATATGTATATATATATATATATATAATTTCGTAGTATGCTATGAGCTGTTATCAAGATGTATTAGCAACAAGTGCATTTATGATGCACTTACTAACAATTATCAAGTGTTCGTTCTTTGCAGCTGCACTATTTTATAATTTCTGCACTTAAAACGAAATAGATTCATAATTAGACATTAGAACAGAGAAAGAAGTACGAATGTTATCTTCGAATATATCTTTTTATTTATTTTATCTTTTTTCATCATCAAACAATCACGACATATATTTATTCAGTTATCATTTTAATTATTGCAATTTAATTATTGACCCCTTTTACACCGAGCACTTGAAATTAAGATAATTCAATAGAAAGTTACTAGTTAGTGCTTGCTTTCCAGCAAGGACACAGTGGCTGCGTTCAGCCGAACGTTTGTTTTGCAACTGTTGGAAGTTTCCTTCGCGCTAATTGGATCATACTTTTAGATCTAGAAGAATGGTCCTATCTCAGCAGACAATCATAAAACGGTTGCAAAACTGTTGAGTCTGCTGAACGCAGCCAGTCAGACACTGTGTAACACAGTGAGTCATTTCATCCTTGTTTAACGTTGGCAAACAACAA